GGCTCAGTCGGTTGAGCGACTGCCTTCGGCTCAGGTCATGATCCCAGGGTCCTGGGATCGAGTCCCACATCGGGCTCCCTGCTCTGCGGGGAGCCTGCTTCTCCCTCTCCCACTCCCCCTGCTTGTGTTCCCTCTCTCGCTGTCTCTCTCTCTGTCAAATAAATAAATAAATAAAATCTTTAAAAAAAAAAAAGAATGGATAAGTAGACAAAAGACGAATAATGTATTATTTTACTTATATGAGGCATCTGTAGTAGTCAGATTCATAGGAACAGAAAGTAGAATGGTGGTTGCCAGGGCCTGCGGGGATGGGTAGATAGGGAGTTATTTAATGGGTATAGAATTTTAGTTTTGCAAGCTGAAAAAGTTCTGGAGATCTCTTGCACAACAATGTGACTAAACATAACTGTACATTTAAACATGATTAAGGTGGTAAATTTTATGTTGGTTCTTTTTACCACAATTAATTTTTTAAATTATTAAAACAAAGTGGATGAGAAGGCTGAAATCAGCTGTCCTAATGGAAAGTCAAAAATCTTTGCTTGTTGTCAGACTCAGAAGCTATCAACTGAAGGAGACCAGGATTCCATGAGGAAGGACCCTGCAAAATCACAGCAAATAAATATGGTAGTGACTCCCCCAGCCCATCCCCAAGGGGAACTAAGGCCATTTATTCAGATAACTCTATATTAGAGTAAGGAAAATACCCGGATCTTTTTAGGGTTGTTGAATACAAGGTCCAAGTTAACACTGATACCTGGGGACATAAAGCATTAACATGGTTCTCTTATTGGAATAGGAGCATATGTGAATCAGGTAATAAATGGAGTCTTTGGCCAGGTGTGTCTCACAGTGGTTCCACTAGGTACATGGACCTACCCAGTTATTTTGCCTGTTCCTGAATGTATAATTGGAAAGGGCATACACAGAAACGGAAGAACCCTCACATTAGTTTCTTGACCTGTAGAATAAGAGCTACCAAGTAATATTAAGAAAGGCCAAGTGGAAGCCCTTGAAACTGCTCCTCGACAATGGCCAACATATATAAAAAAACCTGTCACATTTTAGGGGATTGACAGAGTCAGTCCTTTAAAGAATGCAAGAATGATGGTCCCTGGCATATTCACATTTAATTCACCAGTCCGCCTCTACAAGAACTGGTAGATCATGGCAGATAACAAGTAGACGAACACAAACTTAATCAAGTAGTGGCTCCAACTACACCTGCTGTGCTAGATGTGATACCTTTCTAGAAGAGATTAACAGGGGCGCCTGGGTGGCTCAGTCGTTGAGTGTCTGCCTTCGGCTCAGGTCATGATCCCAGGGTCCTGGGATCGAGTCCCACGTCGGGCTCCCTGCTCGGCGGGGAGTCTGCTTCTCCCTCTCCCACTCCCGCTGCTTGTGTTCCCTCTCTCGCTGTGTCTCTGTCAAATAAATAAATAAAATCTTAAAAAATAATAAATAAAAAAATAGAAGAGATTAACAGAGGCTCAGGTACATGGTGTGAGCCATTGATTTGGCAAATGTGTTCTTTTCCACACCCATTTGAAAAGATGATCACATAAGATGAGCAACAGTAAGCATTCACGGTCTTGCCCCATTGTCATGTTAATTCACATGCTCTCTGTCCATAATATAGTCTAAAGGGATCTGAACTTTTTTTTTTAATTTTTTTTTTTTTTTTTTTTTGAGAGAGAGAGAGAGCACATGAGGGGGTAGGGTCAGAGGGAGAAGCAGACTCCCCGCTGAGCAGGGAGCCCGATGTGGGACTCGATCCCGGAACTCCAGGATCATGACCTGAGCTGAAGGCAGTCGCTTAACCAACTGAGCCACCCAGGCGCCCAGGATCTGAACTTTTTGAACATCTTGCAGAACATCATATTGGCCCAGTATGTCAATACCATCATGTTAATCAGACACCATAAGAAGTATGTGGTGATTACTCTGGATGCCTTTGGTAAGGCATATGCACTCCAGAATGTGGGGGAGAAACCATACAAAGATTTAGAAGTTGGTGAAGTTTTTATGGGTTCAATGATCTGGAACTTTTGGGGACATTCCCTCCAAAGAAAAGAATAAATCGTGCAAAAGTACCTCTTTCCACCAAGAAGGAAACACATTTGGTACGGTTCTTTGGATTTTGGAGGTGGCATATTCTGCACTAGGAAATACTGCTATGACCCATTTATCAGTGGATACCTTTGATTGGGTCCCAGAGCAAGAAAGGACTCTGAATGGTCAAGACTGAGCTACAAGCAATGTTGCTGCTTGTGCTATATGACTCAATAAATCCCATGATACTTGAGCCATCTGGGGGAGAGAATGACACTGTGTGAAACCTCTGGCTACCAGTTGACTCAAATATTTGGTCATCTATGCATTTCTAAATTAAATTGATTCAAGTTTACCTTATATGTGCTTACTGTATTCCAGGCCCTGTCCCGGACACTGAAGACACACAGATGTAATAAATCCTATTCCCTGTTCCCAAGTAACTCAGAGTCTAATTTTACTCTTACTATTGCATGCTATTTGATTCATCCATTCCTCTCTCCTTCCTGGCATTTGCTAAGATTCAGGTAGTAACAAAGAGGGGTCAATGGGGAAAAACTTGAGAACAATTCTATTAACAAAAACTATATTACAAATTGGGTCAAGACCACCATAATTTGATTTGAACAAGCCATATTAGTCATGCTTTAATAATAAAAACTCATTTGCTGAGTCCCTACTATGTGCACACACTTCATATGCATTTATTTTCCCCAATAATTCTGCAAGGTATTATCATCTCTCACTCTCCACATGGAAAAATGGAGGTCTAGGCAATTAAGTAAATCATCCAAGTCATGTACAGAGTAGTGGAGCTAAGATTTGAATGGACGACCACTGCTGGCACCTCAAACCCTCTTAACATTACATACCATACTACCTTCGTGCTACTTTCAGTGGTCCATAGAGTTCTGAAAATACCGTAATCTATTCCAACTCCTTCATTTAACATTAAATTCTCATCCGACACCCTCCAGTGACAGTGAGCTCTTCAAAGCAGTCCTTTTCATCTATGATCAGGAGATTCTTATAGAGGAAATGCAAAGTCTTCTCTCTAGGATCTTTAAAAAAAATTTTTTTTAAAGATTTTATTTATTTATTTGACAGACACAGCGAGAGAGGGAACACAAGCAGGGTGAGGGGCAGAGGGAGAAGCAGGCTTCCCGCCGAGCAGGGAGCCCGATGCGGGGCTCGATCCCAGAACCCTGGGATCATGACCCGAGCCGAAGGCAGTCGCTTAACCGACTGAGCCACCCAGGCGCCCCTCTAGGATCTTTTAGTTACAGGGAGTGCTCACTCAAGCTAGCTTAAACAAACAGTAATGGTGGCAGAGGGAGGTATTTTAAAAACACAAAAATCTCACTGGCAAGTTAGCAACCCAGGGACAGAAAAAGGACAGCTAGACTTCATGAGGACAGGACTTTTGAAGCCATTTTCTGAGGCTGGTCTCTCTCTAGGATTGTATAACCTACCATTTTGCTTCATTCTTACCAGCTTCCCCAGCTTGCACATGATGCACCATTAGTATACTCTAGCCCCATCCTTCTTGACCTTTTAGTTCAAGAGTCCATTATTATCTGACTCAGTCTAATTTTAGTAGAAAATCTTTAGAAATAAACGGATTGGCCCAGCTTAAGCTATGGATTGGATCTTGGATCATTGTTCTACCCTTGGTCTGACCACCTATGCCTGGGGTGGAGTCACCCTGAAAACATGGCTGTCTGGGCTTGAGCAGGGTTTTTGGATCAATAAAACCATTTCAGAGGAGGGTCTGAGCTGGGTTTAACACACTATGGTAACAACCTTGTATAGAAAACATAAAGATGAACATCTTCTGTGACACTTAAAGTCTGTGGCACTTACCGGGTTCATAGTATGATCTTTTATTTTCTCTGTTTGCTGTTTTCTAACCTTACTGTAAGTTCCATGGAGGTAGGGGCTTTGCTCCTATCCATCTCTGTCCCGCAGAACATCTATCCGAGGGTTCTCAACGTTGTGGCCTTGGGGACAACTTGATGCTGAGGTAAACTATTCATAGTATTTGTGGTGGGGTACAATCACCTATTATTGGCTGATCTCTCAAACATGGGGTACTGAGAGGCATGCTGACACTTTTTTTTTTAAGAGGGGGACGGCAGGGGGAGAATCCTAAGCAGGCTCTGCACCCAGCACGGAGCCAGACGAGGGGACCAATCCCACAACCCTATCATGACCTGAGCCAAAATCAAGTGTCAGATGCTTAACCGACTGAGCCACCAAGGTGCCCGGCACTTTTTTTTTTTTATTGTGGTAAACTATACATAAAATTTACCACTTTAACCATTTGTGAGTATACAGTTCAGTGGTATTAAGTACATTTATGTTGTGCAACCACCACCACTATCCATCTCCAGAACTTTTTCATTATCCCAGACTGAAACTCTATCCATTTCCCTCTTCTTCCAGCCCTTAGTAACCACTGTTCTGTCTCCATACATTTGACTACTCTAAGTTACCTCATATAAGTAGGATCATACAATATTTGTATTTTCATGTCTGGCTTTATCAAGATTATCAAGGTTCATCCTTATTTTAGCATGTACCAGAATTCCATTCCTTTTTAAGGCTGAATGATATTCCATTGTATATGCATTTTGTTGATTCCTTTTTTTTTTTTTTAAGATTTTATTTATTTGACAGAGAGAGACACAGCGAGAGAGGGAACACAAGCAGGGGGAGTGGGAGAGTGAGAAGCAGGCTTCCCACTGAGCAGGGAGCCCGATGCCGGGCTCGATCCCAGGACTCTGGGATCACGACCTGAGCCGAAGGCAGACGCTTAACGACTGAGCCTCCCGCATTTTGTTGATTCTTTCATGTGTTGTCAGACGTTTGGGTTGTTTCTACTTTTTGGCTATTGCAAATAATGCTGTAATGAACATGGGTGTAAAAACATTTGTTTCAGTCTCTGCTTTTGAGTATATACCTAGAGGTAGAATTGTTGGATTATATGGTATATCTTTAATTTTTTGAGGAATCACTATACTGTCTTCCTCAGTGACTGCATCATTTTACAATCCCACCAACAATGCACAAAGTTTCTAATTTCCCCACATCCTTGCCAACACTTTTTTTTTTTTTAAGATTTTATTTATTTGCTTGAGAGAGAGAGAGCATGAGCAGGGAGAGGGGCAGAGGGAAAAGGACAAGCGGACTCCCTGCTGAGTAGGGAGCCTGACACGGGCCTGGATCCCAGAACCCTGAGATCATGACCTTGAGCTGAAGTCAGACACTTAACCAACTGAGCCACCCAGGCACCCTGACACTTCCCCCCCGCCAAATAACCATTCTAATAGGTGTGAAGTGGTAGCTTATTGTAGTTTTAATTTAATTGCATTTCCCTGATGATTAGTGTTGTTGAACATTTTCTCATGTGCTTACTGGCTATTCGTGTATCTCCTTTGGAAAAACATCTATTCAAGTCTTTTGCTCATTTTTGAATTAGGTTGTTTTTTGTTATTGAGTTTTAGTTACTTATATATTGTAGACATTAATTCCTTAGCAGATATATGACTTGCAAACATTTTCTATTCTTTTTTTTTTTTTTTAATTTTATTTATTCATTTGAGAGCAAGAGCTCGAGAGAGCACAAGCCGGGGGGTGGCGCAGAGGGAGAGGGAGCAGACTCCCCGCTGAGCAGGTAGCCCTACGAGGGGCTCCATCCCAAGATCCTGAGAGCAGGACCTAAGCTGAAGGGAGAAGCCTAACCAACTGAGCCACCCAGGTGCCCCTCAGTGTAGAAGTCTTTTGCCTCCTTGGTTAAGTTTGTTTCTAACTATATTATTCTTTTTGCTGCTGTTATAAATGGAGTTGTTTTCTTAATTTCCTTTTTAGTGTATAGAAATACAACTGATTTTTGTATGCTGGTTTTGTATCCTGCAACTGTGCCAAATTTATTAGTTCTAACTTTTTTTGTAGACTTTTGTTTTTTAAATTTATTTTTAAAGATTTGTTTGAGAGAGAGAGAACGAGCAGAGGGAGGTGCAGAGAGGGAGGAGAGGGAGAGAAGTAGACTCCCTGCTGAGTGTGGAGTCAACATGGGGCTCGATCTCACATAGTGACCTGAACCAAAATCAGGAGTCAGATGCTTAACCTACTGACCTTATTATTTTTTTTAAATGATCTCTACACAATGTGAGGCTCGAACTCATGACCCTGAGATCGAGAGTCACATGCTCTTCCAACTGAGCCAGCCAGGCACTGCTAAAGTTGTTTTATTTTTTTGTTTGTTTGATATTTAAACAGAAAAAGTGTGTCTGCAGGATAAATTCATCACCATCTTGCTCAAGTTTACAGAATATTTTTGACAAGGTATGCCTAAAAGGTGGCAAAATTTTCAGAAGAAACACCAGTGTCAAAGAGATCAACATATGCAACCTAAGAGATTTGCCCAAACACTTCCAACTAAGGATCCTATCCCAGGTATGCAATATATCTAAGTTTATAAAAGTCAATTCCTGAATATACAAAAAATTACAAATCCTACTTTAAAAAAGCTTCAAACTTACTTTTTAAGTAAGTCTTAAGATAGGTTTGACTTACAGACTAATGTTGAGTGATATTTGAGTATATATGAGGTTATCTGTAGGCCACATAATTTTTATTTCAGTAAACATTTGTTGAATGGTGTGGGGTGATGTTTAGTGTTTAGACTCTAGAATTTGATAGATCTAGATTGGAATCCTTGTTCTCCCACCAATCAGTTGTATAACTTTGGCACTTTCCCTAAACCATTTTTTCTTCCTCTTTAAAGTAGGATGGGGGCGCTTGTCTGGCTTATTTAGTAGAGCACGCAACTTTTTTTTTTTTTTAACATAACCTCAAGATTTTATTGTCTTCATAATATAACAAAATACGAAGCTTAGAACTGGATCACTTGGCCCTTTTTCTTATCTCCTCCCAGTTCAAAATGCTTGCATCTCTTAATAGCCAGCATCCTCTTAGATCTGCAGTTGGGCTCAACACATTCAAGCCTCAGCACAATCTTCTTTGTAGTTTTAGACTTTTTCTGGAAAATTGGCTTAGTCTGCCCACCATAGCCACTCTGCTTCCTGTCATAAAACGCTGCTTTCCCTGGGCATAAAGAGAATCTTTACCTTTCTCGTGCTGTGTCACTTTGTGGTTGGTGCTTGCCACACTTCTTGCAGAAAGTTTGGCAGGTTTTAGGAATGTTCACCATGTTTGCAAGAGTGCTATCGGCACGGAAAGTAGAGCATGCAACTCTCGATCTCAGGATCATGAGTTCAAGCCCCATGTTAGGTGTAGAATTTACTTAAAAAATAAGTAAAAATAAAAAAAGTAGGATAGAGTATCTGTCCCACTGGACTGTTTGAGAGTTCAATGAGATAACTCTATATCCAACAGGTAAGTATTCACTCTGTATTAGTTATGATCATGAGTAGACTACATGTTGGTTACTATACTATATGTTGGAGATAAAAGATGTATGACACCCCATCTGCCCTCAAGGTGCTCATGATCTAGAGGGCAAAGCATAAAGAAAATTAAATAATCTTAATATTGTACCATAGTAAAAATATGTGCAAAGGAATGGAAGCTTGAAACAGAATGGCATGTTGGAGATAAATGTTTAAGGCTGTGACATGCTCAGATATGAAATTTAGGTAGTTTGTCTCCTGTGTAGAGAATGAACTGAAGGGAGTAACTCATAAGCAAGACCAATGGGGAGGCTATGATAATCCAGGCAAACTCTTATCTGGCAGAGCAATAAAGGTTGAACTGGAGGGTAGCAGTGTAGAACGGAGCCTTGCTATGCCTAGAACCGTGAACTTTCTGCCATGGCTTGGGAGATGACACACTTGAATCCTCTTTCATCTTCACGTTAACCATTTAAGGAGTTCTAAGGAACCCTATTTGACCATTTTTCAGGCACCATTTTACAGAAGAGGAAATAGGTTCAGAGACCAAGGCCATCACTGCACTATTACAGGGGGACTATTCACACTGTATTCTATGAAAATGGTGCTCCCTGGAACACAACAAATATGAATGATGGCCCTGAAGTTGTGCACTAAAGCAGCCATGTTGGAAAGGTTACAGCACGGTAGGTAATGAAACTGACCTCTGGTGCGAGCCAAGCTACTCATGCTGTTTGACAAAGTCCAAGTATGGGGGACGATCCTGAAAACAGGAGACCCCACAGCTGGCTCCTGCTATTCTCTTTCATTTTGTTTATGGCAATCTTTATAATTGTGGGAATATTTCTGGGGTTTCATGATAAAGTGACTACTCATCTTAGTTACGCCTATCTAAGCAATCATAATGAAACTAATTCCATGAAGATTTAGTTTCTATAGAACAAAATAACAAGACGGTCACGCTCTGTCTAGCACCTTTCTCTTTGCGTACTGTGTTTTAGTTTTAGTGAAAGCCAATAAGCAGAAATCAATAAAGGTCATGTTAATCATTACAAAGGAAAAATGAAAGAAGGCTATGGCTATAATCCAGAAAATGATCTAAGATTTGGAAAAACAAAAATATCTTAACATATAAATAAAGTTCCTCCGAGGCTGTCAGGAGGAGATGCTTGCAACCTGATCCTGTGTCTGTGTCTCCTCATTCGCCGACACCGTCCTTTCCTACGAGAGACCCACCCCGGCTGGAGCTGGACTCTGGCAGACCTCTCTCTAAAAACCTGTGCATTTCCTACTATACCATACTGTCTAATCATGATGTCATTTATGGACATATAGCATAGTTAGGTTAAACACTGAATTACAACAAAGAAACAAATCAAACACAGCCCAATATGGGTCTTCACAGGAACCTGGTATGCATATTAAATTAATAGAATCCCATAAATACTACTTAACAACAAATCAAAGTGCTCGATGTATTCTTTTTTTTTTTTTTTTTAAGATTTTATTTGTCAGAGAGAGAGCACAAGCAGGGGGAGCGGCAGGCAGAGGGAGAAGCAGGCTCCCATTGAGCAAGGAACCCGACGTGGGACTCGATCCCAGGCCCCTGGGATCATGACCTGAGCCAAAGGCAGACGCTTAACCGACAGAGCCACCCAGGCGTCCCAATTCTTAAACCATTACTTAATAGGAAGAGTAGGATAAAACAAGTATAGGGTCCCAACTATTTCCTTTGGGCCTCCCCAAGATAGATAAATGAGGACCTTCACATGAATGGAAAGGACTAATCACAAAAACTAAGACCATGAATCGATTTTGTACAGACATTTCTTGAATTATTCCCAAATTTTAAGGTGAATTTTCCCAGAAAATGCTTATTCTATAGTTATCTTGGCAATAAATACATGATCTTCGTAGAAAGTATACATTTAGTAACTACCTTATATTAAAAAGCTGTGTAATTAATATTTATGCCAAGAACACTATTTACAAAAGTTTCATCCATACTCTTATCCATGCTTGCTCACTCTGAAGGCAGGAACACTTCTTTGGATTAAGATCTCAATATGCTTTGTCCAGGAAAGGGGAAGGTATGAAAATACAAAACAAAAAAGAATACTGGCTCAATGCACCCAAAGGAAGCCAGCCATTAAGAGTTGTTGTCCATAGGATAAAAGGAAGTACTGACCAGAGCTCCTCTGGGTGAGTAGTTACAATGTGATCAAAAAGGAAAAAGAGTAGAGTATATACATACAAAAAAGCTTTATGGGTCTTGATAAAAACAGGCATTTCTGAAAATATATAAAATCAGTTCCTTGAGAATTTTCAGAAATGAGATTCACCGAACTACAGGAGCAGAAAAAATATTAAGCTTTAGAAACATCTTACTTGTCTGATGATGAACTTCAGAGTAGTTAGGTGACCTGCCCAGGTCACATAGTTAATGCCAAGCCTGGACTAGGATCCAAGTATCCTGACTTCCAGATGAGTGCTCTTTTTTCATTTGCTATACTATCTCTTATATGTCCTTAATCACTTGGAAGTCTCCGTAACTCTCCCTGTCCCACAATGTGCCCATCAGGGACAGTCAGAGGAAAAGAATTCTGGACTATGTAGATCATTTAGAGCTACTAACCTAACAATGGATGAAACATTATTTCAAATAATAACTGGGCTGAAATTCATCTGGGGTTGGGGAGTAGAGAGGAAATACAAAAGAAGGAAATTCTGTAGACAATAATAAGAGAAGCACAAGAGGAAATATTTTCCTCTTTTGTTATTTTATTACTGTTACTTTATTTTGTAGTTAAGTTCATATATTATATAAAACAGCAGGAAAAATGAACAAATTTATAAAATAAATTGAAGTGTCTGGATGAAAAAAATACAAGAGCTTTGCCTTCTTGTCTATAGATCTCTTGATATGTTGTTGGTCTTGCACTTTAGATATCAAATAAAGATATCTAGCTTGAAACAAAAGTAGATATGCTGCAAGGTTAAGCCATAGTTAGTTTGCTGGTGGGCCAGGAAATGATAGATTTTCTAAATCTTATCCTTAAATATTGGCTGTAACAAATGCTGATATAGCAAAATGCAAGCTTTTATCATCAGACAGCAAGAGGGAAACTTGAATTAATGAATGCAACTTACCTCCAAGTCCTCTGAAAGGAGGTGAAAAAAATAAATACTGTATTTTACTAGTGTTCCCCCAAAAACATTACTCTAAGCATGCAGGAGGATGCTGTGAGCAGCTACAACAGTAAGATCCAATCCAGAGGTAGGTTCAAGACCAAGAGTAGGAGAGTGACTGAAGAAATCCTCCTGGAGCCAGTACCATTTCATAGAATGACCATTTGTGCTGGGGAATGAGTCTATGGCCTATCTTTTTCTGACTCAAAAGGACACTCCTAATTTTAACCTTGCTGAAAACAGGCATTTTTGCACCTGCTATTAAGAACAGCTAGTATACAGGATAAGGCTGGCATAAAATTATTTAGCAAACACATGCTAGCTATTCCAGTTTGAAATCTACCAAACTATAGAGTCAAGGGGGAAATAAAAAGTTGAAGATGGAGCTGCTGTTCCTCAAGATGAGGGGAAAATGTCTTACCAAAAGAGGGATTAGGCACTCACTTAACTCTATATGGAGAACATCCTTCTCAGGCTAGGTAGAAGATGAGGAAGAGCATTACCAAAGGCTGACCAGGCCACTGGGAGACCAAGAGGAGAGGGAAAAAGGCATTTAGGAAGAAAGCTAGAAGAAAATCTTCTGGGTCTGACTAGGTAAGTGAATCTAAGGCAAATGCACCAAAGATACACTATCCCCTATGCCAACACAGAGCTGGTGGCAAAATATCTCAAGACATTTTAAACCCAGAGAAATGTATAAAAAATATGTTAACAAAGCAAATTAAAACCAAACTTTCAAGGGTAAAATCTCCTCAGATCTGAAATCCAAGATACTCACTTTTCATTAATTCTGTGCATTATTAGAAAAAAATTAAAAATAACAAATGTAAAGATTTGTTTTATTTTCTACTGGGGGAAGAAGGAGGATAAATAGAACTGTTTTCCAATTTGCTCTCCACTGTATACACACATACCCACATACATACATAAACATACACACACCAAAAATACCCCAACAAAAAAACAAAACAGAAAACTGAGAATCAAACACCAAAACACCCTCAAACTGCACCAATACTTCGTATTTTGACCGAAAGAATAGATCCTGGGAGGAAGTGCAAAATGCAAAATCAAATGACCGAAAAATGCTGAACAAACAGCATTATTAATATACAAAATATTTATATTACTGAACTAGTAACAGTTGATGTTCTCCATGTCTGTAAAACTTTGGAACCACATAGCTGATTTGTTAAATCTAGTCCATGCCAGCTTCCAAACTCCAGAAAAACTTTTAGTTAGCTTCATTCTTTGATGCCTCATCAAAATTTTCTACGAGATCTGGAAAAAAAAAGTAAATGAGTTAAAGATATAAAAAAAGAAAAAGAGGTAAATTAAATTCCTAACTTCTAACCCTAATAAAAACCAAATTGTGGCTATTAGAATTTGCCTAAAAACATACAGGACAAGAAACAGAAATGAACTAGTGGCATTTCACTAATAATGCTTCATTTACCTGCTTTTAAAACAGTAATCCTAAGGAAATGTTAGTCTTTTTTTTGTCTGTGCAAACTAAGGTGAACAGCATTTTCATATGTCAATCACAATTCCCACAGAAATGTTTTAACAATAACTATGCAAATTTAAAATCACAGGGATTCTAATTTAACAAATGCAGACAGCAGAGCTTTGTGTGACAATTTCTAAGTTCTTTTTTTTTTATTTTTTATTTTTAAAGATTTTATTTATGTATTTATTTGAGAGAGTGAGAGAGAGAAAGCACATGAGAGGGGGGAAGGTCAGAGGGAGAAGCAGACTCCCTGCCGAGCAGGGAGCCCGATGCGGGACTCGATCCCGGGACTCCAGGATCATGACCTGAGCCAAAGGCAGTCGCTTAACCAACTGAGCCACCCAGGCGACCCAATTTCTAAGTTCTAAATAGGAGGACTTTTATTCTTTTTCATTACATTGTATCCATATTATTGTGAATCAATTTATATTCATGAACTCACCATCAACAAAAATTAAAAGTCATTATACAATGAATTAAATGAGATAGACAGGCTGCTAAAAATCTTAGAGCTAAGGAAATGTCACTTACCTGGAACATCATCATCCTCTTCATCAATGTCTTCTGGTTTTGGTGCTTTGCTATCCAACACTACAAAACGTTTATTTTAGTATTAGTTCTTGAGAACAAAGGCCTTTACAGAACACTTATAATGTTCATTCTTTTCTCCTGTCTAAATCTTATATAGTTGTTCAGAAAAAGCCAAAGATTGTCTGATCTAATACCATATTTTTTACTTAACACTAAAATCAATAACACTTTAACTTCATTAGGTATATACTAAATATAGTTGGCAGTTTCAATGGGCAGTGAAGGTAAAATTTATTTGGAAAATGAAATAATTCTGATGAGCTGGAATAAAAAGACATTATAGTTAATTTATTCTACAAATTCCATATGCTTGAAATAAAAAATCAATATTCAAGACTTTCCATCTCTTCTGGTGTAAGAAAGTACCCAGCTATGTAGTATGGGCACTGATGTAAAAGGCTCTTTGATTTTTAGGGGTGACAAGACACATTTGAAACCAGGGCTATTGTGGAAATTCACAACTTACAGTTGCCATGCCTATAGTTCAATCAACAATATTAAACAAAAATACAGTTCTCTAATAACAATATCTTCTTCTTGTCATTAGTCAGAAGTGAATATCAAATACTGTCTGTAAAATGTGGTCTGTAGATCTCTTAGGTAGTTAACCTCTCAACTCTATTATTACCAGAATGTATCCATATATTGTATATGCTACATTGCACAGTTTTTAAAGAAACAAATTCAAAAATTTATGAAGCATATGAGCAACATTTTTAAAAGTAAAATTTACATACAAGTAAATCCTTCCAGCATAAAATGGGACACCTTTTAAATCATTAGGTTCTTTAGATTACAGTGGAGAAGGAAAGATACTAAACTGAAATACCTACCTTGCCGAGGGAACTGTTCAGCTAACTTCCTAAGACTTGTTAAGCTGTCAGCACCAAGCTGACTTAATATTCCAGGAAGCATTTCTGTGATTGGTTTGGCTTCTGCATGACCAGTAATTGCAAAGGTGTTAGCAGAAAGGGAAGCTTGGACTTTGGGATTGTTGAAATGAATAACTGTCCCATCATCTTTAATCATGTTCACCTGTATGATCATAAAAGAAAAATGTACTTCACATATTTGGTACAACTAAAACAGTATCTGTTTAAATAATAATTTAGCCAATTATTATTATTATTTATTTTTTATTTTTATTTTTTTTAACAATCCCAAGGTAGTAATTATCTAAGCTGTAGATATGGGTGGAAAAAGACCCTAGCAGCAACAAAGTAAAATGGTGTAGATGGCACAAATTACTAGGATGGTCAAGAAACAGTCATTTTATTATAGAATCTAGATTTTAAATTCAAAGACTTCTACTATGAGAAAGAAGTTCATGCCACATTTTAAAAATAATGGAATTATCAGCTAAGAACTGGCTTCTTAATGAAATTACCCATTGTCTTACCCAATTTACACTATCAAACTAAATTGGTACATTTGGTGGGTGGGGTAGCATCATACTTAGGCAGCAAGTTGTAAAGGGGTAATAGTGTATGGTAAAAAATAACCACTGAAAATCCATAAAGAACACTCAGAAATTTAACCAGATGTTACACTCCTTTGAACACTTAAGTAAATTTACAAAAATTTCAATTTGTTCTCCTCATGTCATTCTTTATAAAAGATTTTGTCAGTTCCTCTAACTCTTAAGTATAGCTTCTCAACAACCTTCAATAAGCCTTGTAAATGTCAAAGAAGCTCTCCAACCCACTTGCCTGGCCATTTGAACATGCTTTATTAATCACCTTTAAAATCATCCTCACATTCTTTTGGTAGCTTTCACCCACATGAATTGACTGTTTCAGATTTGATTTTTTTTTTAAATTTTTTTTTTAAGATTTTATTTATTTATTTGACAGAGAGCAAGAGAGGGAACACAAGCAGGGGGAATGGGAGAGGGAGAAGCAGGCTTCCCGCGGAGCAGGGAGCCCGATGCGGGGCTTGATCCCAGGACCCTGGAATCATGACCTGAGCCGAAGGCAGATGCCTAACGACTGAGCCACCCAGGTGCCCCTCAGATTTGATTTTATCCACTGCCTGAAAAGGAAGGTTAAACATGTGCTATTTAAAGTATTATTTTTCTCTCTCACTCATGCACTTTCTTATTGTGTTTTAGTAAAGCTAAATTTGCATAAGTTACATGTATAAATAATGTGATTCCACTAGTAGTTGATTCCACTGGGTAAGTTACCTTGATGGTAACATACTTATTATATAAAAAAGTTAGGAAAGTTAACTCTTGGCTACTTTAGAAGCATTTCATGATCCATCCAAAAACTGCCCTTGTCACAATCAAGCAGAGATGCTGAGTGTTCTCCATGGTCAGTGGAAGTGGGCTTTTCTTCCCAGTGATCACCACCACTGATAGCACCAGAAAGGAAGGGGAACAAAGGGGCTTCT